CTAACCTAAACAAATACTAAAATGACACCTTATTCAAACTCTATCTCTCTTTCTCTCTAAAACTCCATCTATCTCTCTTCGCTTCTCGGTGAGTTTCTCAGCCAAGGGGTTAGGCTTGAGCTGGAACATGAGCACACTTTCTTATGTGTGAGAGGGAGATGGAGTTTTAGAGAGAGAGAGAGAGATGGAGTTTGGGTTGTAGAGAGAGAGAGATGGAGTTTGGGTTGTAGAGAGAGATGGAGTTTGGGTTGTAAAGAGAGAGAGCTGGAGTTTGGGTTGTAGAGAGAGAGATGGAGTTTGGGTTGTAGAGAGAGATGGACTTTTAGAGAGAGATAGAGTTTTAGAGAGAGATGGAGTTGAGTTTTAGGGAGAGAGATGGAGTTTTGAGAGAGAGAGACAATGATGTGAGAGAGAACGAGATGAAGTTTGGGTTTTCGAGAGAGATGGAGTTCTGAGAGGGACGATGATGTGAGGGAGAGATGGAGTTTTAGTAGAGAGAGAGAGAGAGAGAGTCACTTCATAAGTTGTTGAGGTCAATAATACATGGTCAAAAGAGTTTAGGAAGTTCGAAGATAGAAAAGATGAAGTCCTTTTGCTTACAATTAATATTTTCAATTCTTGGGGTCTGATGATATATAGAAGTTAAAAACTAAGGGATAATAAGATATTTTTATTTAATTTAAATAAAAAATTAATATATGATAATGATATCCTTTCTTATTTTATGCTCAAGCCTTCTCACACTTACTAAAATTTTATTCGAAATTTCCTCAAGACACAAGCTTTCCAAAATTCAAGTTACTTATCCATCAAGACAAGAGCTTGTGCTCTACAAAAATAGAAAGCCATATAGGTAGGCTGTGCCACCCTTTGTAGCACACAATGGGCCCCACCAACTTTGTCATAGTCAGCCCATAAAACCTATTGGGCCTCCCAAACAATATTTAAAATAATATATTTTTTAGAATTTCTTAAAATCATATTTGAATAATTAAATCAATGTAAATCAATTTATTTGCATTTACAAAATCCAAATTTGATAAATAAAATATGTAAAGATTTAGAAAAATTCAAATAACAATTTTAAAAATCATATATTATTAAAATAAATGCAGTTAAATATTTTGATAGGAAAATGATCCATATGGTCTATAAATAAATGTGCCTTGTTGGCACTCCACTTTCAAATGTGGACCATGGACCATACATGCTTTATCAAACCGACCTAGTGTTGTTCATATGACCCACAGTTCATACAAGGGATTATTAGTGGGTAACCAAAATCTAACCAATAGACAAGGGGTCGTAGTCCTAGTCAATGGATTTTAGGTTTTCCCCTAGAGACGAAACCAAAGTTACCTAGACTTTATGCAATCCATTACCCGATGGTGCACAGGGGGTTATCTCTCGCACGTTCACACGCTTCACCCTGAAAGGTCGTTCCCTTTCCCAAAAATGGCTACAAATATGCATGTCGTGTGATGATATGCGGATGGAGCTTTGGCCTCGTCTCTGAAGGCTTCCATCTCACACAAGGATCACATACAGTCAATTAGCTCACCCTTTCGGGCATACTCCGACCTCACCAAGGGATGACCCATCTAACACTTATCAATTTTTTTTTTCTATGCCCAAGTAACATGGGTTTTTCCTAACCAACACGTTAAGCACAGTCTAGTATAAATAAACATCGTTTAATTAATATGGTCCACATGGGACCACACTCCCACTGAGTTCATGTTCCATTGTATAAATTCATTTACAAGCACTCATAAAGCCTTTACAGGCCACACACACCCAACAAAAAATGGTAGAGCATATATATGAAAACTTGAAAATCTTGAAAAGGGAAAGGTTTCTATAGTTCCCCTATAGCATAGAAGATCTATGCTTCCCCTACCATCCAATTGTCCAATTTTGATCAAGAGAGTCACTCAACTGTTTGATCTTAGATCCGACGTCTCAAAGTTTTTTTTTAAGTTTTTTTTATACAAATTATATGAATATGAAATTTGGTACGTGCTATCTTCTCATTAGGGCGCACCTATAAAAAATAAGTTTTCAATAAAATATAATGACCAAAATACCCCTTAAAACATTCAGGGGTATTTTGGCTATTTTATTTTATTGAAAATATTTTTTTATAGTGGGAGTTTAATAGAAGATTGGACGTCCAAAATTTGGTGTCAAAATAGTTTATAGAAAAAAAAATTAAAAATAAAATAGTGTAGAGACATGACATTGTGTTGGTGCAATCTTAGCCCTCCATTCAGAATGGACGGTTGGATAAAGGGAAGTATATAAGTTTTATGTTGTAGGGAAAGCTTACACTCTTGAAAATTGACGGTCCAAAAATACATTACAAGATGCAATATTTCCAAAACGTGAATCCATTTTTCTCATGTCCATCCATCTTCATGTCGAGATTATCAATTTGAAGATATTTGGGCATCAAAACAACCTGTTCTAATGAAAATTTTGAGGTGGACTATAATTTGATTGTTTAGACCCTACGCTTTATATAAACTTTTTCCTTTAATTAATCAAGACCAAAAAATTCCAAAAAAAAGTTAAGGGTACAGAGAGAGAGATCCGGGCGACCCCGAGCTGACTCACGATTCAAGCCCACTCCCCACTAGACAAGGTTTTTAACACTAGTTTCTATAAAATGTTACATGTAGCACAAATATTCCCGCAACATTGCTACAGTGCCACTTCAACAACCTAGTTAGCGGGAAAGAAAAGGCCACTTGTTCTTTTAAAGATGACCGAAATGCCCTCACTTTTGTCAAAATATCCTGGAAAACTCCGTGGAGGATTCCGTTCGGTCTCAAAATTGGAGGTGACGTTTCCTCTTGCCCAATTTGGTCATTTTTTCAACTCAGGTTTGAAGAATTGAAGGGCTAAGATTTGGTTTCCATTCGAATGGAAGGTGGAAATTCGAACACATAACTCGTGAGCAAAACATCAACGAAAAGAGGATAATTACGCCATTACGCTATATGTAAAGAGCAATATAGGTCACTTTCCATATTATAACCTAAAGACTGTCATATTTAGGTTGCTCCATATCTGTAGATGTACTGGAAGCAGTGAACCGAGGTGGAGGTTTATGAGGCCATACGTTTCCAGGGGCCTTATCGACCAAACCTCTCTCCCTTATTCTCTCTTTAAGAGGTGCCTGCAACACTGAGAGTTGGAGAGATAGGAGCTCTCTCTCTCTCTCTCTCTCTCTCTCTCTCTAAGAGGTGCCTGCAACAGTGAGAGTGAGAGGGATAGGAGCTCTTTCTCTCTCTTCATGCTCCTTTGTCTCTGAGTATCTCTGCCGCATTTTTTTTCTTCTTGTCTTTCTCTCTCCTGTTTCATTTTCTCTCTCTAGGAAGCATTTCTTCATATGGACTGTTAGCAACGGGGGAAGTCAATTTTCAGAGAGAGTCGTAGTAAGTTAGCTTCAATTTTTTTTGTGAAAACTGTGCCTATTGCTTAGCGAGGTACAAAATATATAAAAACAAAGAAATCAGGGCTTCTTGCCATAAATTTCACTGTGTTTTTATTACTATTGCTATCCTAATCTTTTACTTCTAATTTTGGCTCTAAAAGTTTTTATCTCGCCCATTAAAACCACCCCCTGTTATTGAGCTCTCGAGCAAGCTCCATGGCCTCCATTATTGGTGTTTCCTCTCTCTACCAGACTCTCTCTCTAGAACTCTCTAGAAGAGCTTCTTCTCAGTTACCCTCCCTTTCTTCGGCCCCTTCTTATTCCTCCTCTGAAAAACCCCAGTTCCGTTCTCTGTCCTCTCCTAAACCCTTGAACAAGAGTTTCGAAGCTTCTTGTTCCCTAAACGGTGATTCATCTGCCAAAAGACATGGCTTTAAGGGTCTAATTCCTTGTGCTATTGCTACTCCAAATTCGGTTTTGAGCGAGGAGGCATTCAAAGGGCTCGGAGGCCTTTCAAAAGGTCGTGGTTTTAAAGATGATGGGGAGGATGATTACGAATTGGAGGTGGGTTCTGAAGCTTCAAATGAAGAAAATCTCGCCATTGGCAATTTAGGTTTGCGTGAGGAGCTTGTGGATGCTCTCGCAAAGAGGGGGATTACCCATCTGTTTCCTATTCAGGTAAACAGTGCATTCTTCGTGCTTTATGTACTAGAGAGTGAAGGAAAAGTATTTGTAGTTCTCTTTGTCATTGTTTTTTCTTTGAATTCCTTAGTTCGTTTATGGTATGTTTCACTGATATTGATGTAAATTCATGAAAGAAGCAAGATTACAATGTTAACTGATAAATAGCGAAGCCAAAAATGCTTCTGCAGATGCCACCAATTGGACTAAAAAATAACCAGTGCCTTTAACTTTTAATTATCTTATATGTGGTATTGTGCTCATTTATTGGGAACTCATTAAATATGTGGAATTATAAAACTAACTTATAAGTGGAGATGCTCAAGTGCTTCTCTACATATGCCCAAGTTGGTTAAAGCTGAGGTTTCACAATATATATCTCTATATGTTCATGTGGTGGTCTGTTGGCATATTATTTCATTTCAATATCGTGTTAATTTCTCATTGACTAACTAGAAAAAATGCACAACAGTTGGGAGGAAAGAAAAAGCGAAAACTGTGTTCAGAGAGCAATCCCGACATTCTCCTCTTGTTATTTCTTAATCTAAAATTATTGTTTTCTCTAGTGCATTTGGGTTGGTCGATGTACGTGTTTGTGTTCCTGACAATATATACATTTTGTATATAGAGGGCAGTCTTGGTCCCTGCTTTAGAAGGGAGAGACATCATTGGCCGTGCAAAGACTGGTACTGGAAAGACATTGGCCTTTGCAATCCCGATCATTAAACGATTGGATGATGAGGGGAGGAGCCCTTCTAGGTAATGTTATCTAACACTTTGAAGCTTTTGAGCCTCCACATTTTTGACTTGCTATGGTGAATAAAATCATGTTTATGGTTTGCTATTTTTGTTGCACGAGCTTCATTAAGTTCTTTAATTTCCTATAGGGGACGACTTCCTCGAGTCTTGGTGCTAGCACCAACTAGAGAGTTGGCCAAGCAAGTTGAAAAGGAGATAAAGGAATCAGCGCCTTATTTAAGCACCGTTTGTGTTTATGGTGGAGTTTCTTATAATATCCAACAAAATGCCCTTACTCGGGGTGTCGATGTCGTGGTGGGAACACCCGGCCGTATCATTGATCTGGTGAATGGGAATAGCCTCCAATTGGGTGAAGTTCAGTATTTGGTTCTTGATGAAGCTGATCAGATGCTTGCAGTTGGGTTTGAAGAAGATGTGGAAGTTATATTGGAAAAGCTTCCAACAGGACGTCAGAGTATGCTTTTCTCTGCAACGATGCCTGGGTGGGTGAAGAAGTTGGCGAGGAAGTACTTGGATAATCCTATGACAATTGATTTGGTAATACTCATTCTTTACTAGATAATACTTGTAGATGAATTGGTTTTTTCTTTGTACACCATATTAATTATAGATGTTTAAAGAGATACTAAATTACAAACAATTTCATGTTAGATTCCTTTACTGATGTTCAAATCCATCAAGCCTATGCCTTATTTTGTGATGACTTCATCTGTTCTAAGGTATAATTTGTTTTAGTTGATACGTATTAATGTCACTTATATGTAGAGCTGTATATGAATGGACATAACTTGTCAATGAACAGAATATTAGGACTCATTCGTAGAGTAAAGAAGTTATGCAGGTACTTTAGCTTGTTGCTGTAATAATATTATGGAACCATACCAATTGAACTGTTTCGATTGGATCTGACCCAAAGGTCAGTTGGGTTGTTAACCTGGATGCAAATCCAACGTAATTATTCCAGTAAAATAAAGTTTAATCTATTTTTTTAATTTGCTAAAAATGTAGGACAATTGCGCATTATTCAATCAGTGGAACCTAGAGAAATATTTGCTTTGCTTGTTTTTGCCTATAGCTTTCATTTTTTCTTGTTAGCATGGTTGCAAAACTTGGAACCTTTTACTGGTATGTGCAGTCTCTCTCTCTCTCTCTCTCTCTCTCTCTCTCTCTCTCT